CCCCCCCCCCCCCCCCCCCCCCCCCCCCCCGCGCATCCCTCGCCCTCCCTCCCGCCGCCGCTGCAGCACATGGGAAGTTGCCTGGGTCTGGCTGTGTTAAGGGTCTCTGCGCAAGGTCCCAGCGTTGCGCCTGGGTAGAGAGGCCCTCCCAGGTTGCCAGGGGCAGCAGAGCGGTGTCTGAGCCACATTTCCAAGCAAAAACCCAAGAACCGAGTCTGTATTGAACTGGAGCCTCCGATAAATTCGGTAAACAAGGGCGAATTTGAAAGGCGGGGGGGGGGGGATCAGCCACTCTCCGTGTCCCCTCCAGTGACTGGGGGCGCTTTCACTCTGGCCGGCTGGCCTCAGGCCTCCCACCCAGGGTGCGCGGCATCCGCAGCACCGAGTGGGAGGGCGCGACACCAGCACAAAAGCCACCATTTCCGCTGGGTGCGCGGTCCCCGCCCGCTCCTCCCGGGGCACGGGCCTCGGGGGCACTCCTCGCCCATTTGGTGGTCCAGGTGTTCCCCACTGGCTTCCAGGCACTGAGTGTCAACGGAAGCGTGCTTCCTTTCTGCAAACAAGGAGAGGAGACACGAGCACAGGGTCTGCGGATCTGGGTCACCCCTCCCTTTGCGGTCTGGCGATTCTGAGCCCCAGGCTCGCCAGATGGACACCAGAGGGCGCAGGAATGCCGCCACGAGCAGGACCTCCGGGCACGGGACCCAGGCCCAGGTGCTGCACGAAGATCAGACCCAGACCGGCCACACGGTGCCCCTGCACAGGGTGGCCAATCAGACCCAGACCGGCCACACGGTGCCCCTGCACAGGGTGGCCAATCGGACCCAGACCGGCCACACGGTGCCCCTGCACAGGGTGGCCAAGTGAGGCTGGCACTGTGGAGGGGCCGTCGTGAGGGCCCTCTCCAGGACCCGAGCCAACAAGGACCACCAGCCTGGGAACCCCGTTGGTCACTGTGTGATTTCACAAGGGGCTGGCCCTACTTGAACTGGGTCTCTGGCCTGTGACAGCCAGCACTGGGTAACAGTACTGTACCATTCCGAGGCTCCCTCCAGTAGGTAGAGTAGAGGTGGCCTGGAGACCCTTGGAGGCTCCCTGCCGGGACTTAACGAGAGCCTCTTATGTATCAAAGAGGGTGAGAGCGGGGAGCCTCCGGGCTCTAGCGCACTCCTTCAGGCTGAGATCTTGCCCCTACATATGACAACCGCAATCCGAAGCCCACCCTTCTTTTCAGTAAGAGTTCTGTCCTGCCCATAAGCAAACCTGCATGGTTAAAAATAATAATAACAATAATAATATAAAATGTCTCAGAGAATAAGGTGCAGGCAAAACACTCTCCCATCAGCCTAGGGATTTGGATATTAATTCTTATGCAAAAATTACTCAGGTAAAAGTGCTATAGAGCTGCTGTGGTTGGAATTAGTGTACCCCAAGTACGGAAGGCTTGGTCCCAGTTTGGTGCCACTGAGAGGTGGTGGAACCATTAAAAGGGGGGGCAGTGATCTGGACCCCGAGAATCGGGACATGGGATCCCATGCCCCTCTTTCCTAGGACGTGATTGCCATAATGGACCACCACAGGCTCAAAGCAGCTGGGTCAACCGACCGTGGACAGAAACCTCTGACGCTGTGAGCCAAAGGGAACCTTTTCTCTTCCGGGGTGACCGGCTCAGGAAGCTAGACACCACACTGCGCCGACTAACTCATCTACCAGGTAGAGCTCTGTGCCGCAAAGGCTGCCCTGGGCCTGTGTAGCTCCCGATCCCTCTGATCCACCCTAGCACTGAGTCAAGTTTCTGTCCCACCTAGCCTGGGGCTCCTACAGATGGGCCCCTTCCTGCCTGGAGCTCTCCACTCCTAAGGTAGATTTTTGTTTTATTTTTTGAGACAGGATTTCTCTGTGTAGTTTTGGTGCCTATCCTGGATCTCACTCTGTAGACCAGGCTGGCCTCGAACTCTGCCTCCCGAGTGCTGGGATTAAAGGCATGCGCCACCACTGCCAGGCTAATGTAGATTCCTGTGGCTGATCTGTGTGGCTCAGCAGCAGTTGACCACTCAGGGAGCATCATGATGGTCCTTCAGCCTCCCAGACTGTAACTCAGGCCCGACGTGGGATTCAGGCTTCTATCACTGCCTGCTCAGCTTGAGGCCTACTTCCCATCCCCTACCCCAACCACCACCTGCTCACAGCGTCACTCAGCCCCATGGGGCACCTCTCTGGGCCCTGGAAGATAGAGGACATGGCAGCTCAGCTTCAGCCCCCAAGGGAACGCCTGCCCCGACCATCTCCTCCTACCTTCCCTGCCCATCAGCAGAATCCACTGTTGTTCATTTTCGCCACCTGTAGATCCTTTGAAAAGTTGGCACTTGGAAGGAGGGGGTGGGAGTATCCAAAATTTAAGACCGTCTTTGGTATGATAGAGAAGTCAAGGCCAACCTGGACTAGGTAAGATTCCTGCCTTAAAAAAAGAAAAGAAGCCAGACGATGGTGGCGCACGCCTTTAATCCCAGCACTTGGGAGGCAGAGGCAGGCGGATCTCTGTGAGTTTGAGGCTAGCCTGGTCCCCAAAGCAACTTCCAGGAAAGGTGCAAAGCTACACAGAGAAACCCTGTCTCAAACACACACACACACACACACACACACACACACACACACACACACAAAGAAAAGAAAAGAAAAGAAAAGAAAAAAGAAAAAAAAAGAAAAAGAAAAAGAAAGAAAGAAAGAAAGAAAGAAAGAAAGAAAGAAAGAAAGAAAGAAAGAAAGAAAGAAAGAAAGAAAGAAAAAAAGAAAAGAAAAACTAAGCAACAAGAGACTCAAAAGAAGCCCTTGGCTCCAGGAATCTGGTCTTGCTAGCTGAACCTAAATACCTAAATTGCCTGCAAAGGACCTTTCTGGAGAAAATATCACTGGTGACCCAGGAAGGGAAGATTTCAAGTTCAAGGCCTACCTGGGCTAGACAGGTAAGTTCAAGGCCAGTTTGGGCAACTTGGTGTGTTCCTATCTCAGACATGATGGGTGGTAAGATGCCTCTTGTAGAGGAGGACCTTGTCACCAGCCTGAGTGCAGTCCTCAGAACCGACGTGGTAGAGAGACCCAAAGCGCTCAAGTTGTCCTCCGACCTCTTCACGAATGCTCTGGCAGACGCATGCATACACACACACACACACACACACACACACACACACACACACACACGTACACACGTACACATAAGTAAATGTGAAGGGAAAAAAAAAAGTCAAAAAAGCTGGTGCTGGGGTGTAGATCAGTGGCAGAGCACTTGCCTAGCATGTGTGGGCCCCAGGTTCCACCCTCAGTACTGGGGGGGGGGGCTGGGGGGGGGCTGGAGCGATGTCTCAGCACTTGCTGCTCTCACAGGGGACCTGAGTTAGGTTCCCAGTACCTACATTAGGAGCTCCAGGGGTTCTGACATCCTCTTTTGGCCTCCTTGGGCACCTTTACACACACACACACACACACACACACACACACACACACACACAATTTTAAATGAAAAAAAAAACTTTGATAACCTTGTGACCTTTGTAAAAATAATCTCCTTTTAAAAAGACTTATTTAGCCGGGCGGTAGTGGCGCACGCCTTTAATCCCAGCACTAAGGAGGGAGAGCCAGGTGGATCTCCGTGAGTTCGAGGCCAGCCTGGGCTACAGAGCAAGATCCAGGACAGGCACCAAAACTACACAAAGAAACCCTGTCTCAAAAAGCCAAAAAAAAAAAAAGACTTATCCCAAGGAATTTTGGTGTTGCTTGGCTTGTTATGTATCAGCTGTCTTCTGTTCTGAAAATCATGTGTGCCTTCATAGTTTTCCCAATTGACTTTTCCCTAAGAAGGACTAACAGTGTGGACTGATCACTCTCAGGACATACACATTCCAGGTATTTGGAGAAGAGCCTCGGGAAAGGCTTCCTCTGGAATCAGATATCTCCCTTGGCCACTTTCAAGGACTAGCAATAATAACAGCCCACTTGCAAGTCTCCTGACTTAAGGTAAATCCCACAAGGAGACACCACCTAGGTCAGGTGGACGTTAATAGCTTTACACAATTTAGCTTGGACCCTCCTTTCTTACAGCCTTACTAACTTTATAGACCTCTAATTCCTTACCTAACCACTTCTAGGAATATTTAGATAACCTGTGCGCTAACAGCTATGCTCAGCCAGAACCCCAATCCAAGCCTCCCTGTAATTATCATCATTGGCAGCATCCGGACAGGTCCATCCCCAAATGGAGGAAAGTACTTTATCAGAGATACCTCTGTGCTCTCTAAGAACGACTTAAGCATCCAGGCTACCCATTTGAGAAGCCTGGCAGATGTGCCAATTAAGCTTTACTTCCTGCTTTCCCAAACCTTACCTCTAGTTCCAGATCTCCCTTTAACTATCACCAGAGGCATCTAGCTGTACAGGTTGCCTAGCGACCGAGCACACTTTCCCCTATCCTGAAGAAAAACAGCAGATAGCTTGGACAGATAGGAGTCATAGGAAAAAAGAAGACAGTTTTATTTTCTCCCATTGGCCTAGCAACTTATAGATTCTTAACATTTTCTACTAATCACGTTCAAGAGTTTAATAGTTGAGCACATAAGATCCCTCTTCTTAGATATTACCCGAATTTAGCCTTTAGTTAATTCATTTCCCCATTGGTCACTTCCCTTTGGGGTTGCAAATGATAATTAACGGTTATTGCCTTTCAATGTGATTTTTATCACCCCTCTGTTTGACCCTGGAAGCCTGGCTTTATATACCAGGACTTCCAGGGCACAGAGGGTCAGAGAAAAGAGAATGGAAGAACTAGACGGGTAAGAACTTGCCAGGAACAAACTGAGATGGGGAAGAACTAGATTGAAGGGCTAGAAGAGAGGACTAGAGGAACGAGATGGAAGATGAGGAAGAGCCAGATGGGGAAGTACTAGCTGGGTAAGAACAAGCTGAAAAGGACCTAGATGAGGAGAATTAAGATGAGAGAATTAAGATAGAACTTAGAGGGAGCAATAGATAAGTATAGAGAGAAATCAGGCAAGAAAGGAGCTAGACACGAGAACAGAACTGAAGCTGTGTATAAAGGATGTTATGCCAGAGGAATTAAAACAAGTGGACTATAGAGCTCGGTGTGCTGAGATTCTATTTCCTGAAAATAGTCCTCGCCGTTAGTAGTTCTCTCTCCTGAGCCCTTGGGATGTATAATATTAAGGCTGGTCCTGCTAATATTATACAAGACCTGGCGCCCTTGGGTACCCAGTCTCAGAAAGAGTAATCTACCAAGCACAGTGGTGTGCTTGGTGGAGGCTGTCCAGAGACGAGGCAGTCTCTCCAGGGAGTCGTAAAGGTGACTTCAATATGGCAGCATGTGTGTCAAGGGTCACTTAGGCTTATGGCTCCCGTCATAGCATATACCAGGATTTTGTTGGATTTCCTTAAAGGAGGTATAGCACTGGGGAAGCTGAGGCTGGAGGATTGCCATAAGTTCAAGGCCAGCCTGGTTCAAGGCCAGCCTGGGTCATACAGAAAGATCCCTAGTCTCAAAACAAACAACAAACAAACAAAACCAATGTAAATAACCAGAAGTGGCAAGATGCCTCGGTGGGTAAGAGTATGCGTCATCAAGTGTGACAGCCTGAATTGGATCCTTGGAACTCATAGAGAGGAAGGAGAGAACTGATGCCCGAAAGCCATCCTCTTGACTCCACACACAGGCCATGGCACACGGGTGCACCCACACACGGGCAAAAGAAATACACCAAAGTGCCAAAGACACCACCAACAAAAAGCTGGAGTCTTGTGCCATTGCTCTGTGCTGGTCTCAAACTCTTGCGGACCAGCCTCAGCCTCCTGAGTGGCGGGGACCAAGTGTGTGCCACCACAGTGGCCTGACGCTCTTCTGACCGTTTACGTTTTGAAGTGCTGGGCTCGGGCCTAACTCCAGGGTAAACTGATTGCCTAGCATCCACGGGGACCTGAATCCCACCCCCAGCCCCACAGAGGAAGAACTCCGACCTATGCGACTGTGTAACTTACCCAACCGGTATGCAGGAAAGTCATTGTAAAAGCCAGGCGTGATGGTACAGTACACACCAGTAATCCTAGCACTCGGGGGAGGACCAAGAGGACTGCAACTCCAAGGTCATCGGCAGCGACATGATGAGTATCTGGGCAACATGAGACCTTGTCTTAAAAACAAGCTAATAACGGCAAGAAAAAGAGCCGGGCAGTGGTGGCCCACATCTTTAATAACAGTAGGGAGACAAGAGGCAGGTGGATCTCTATGAGTTCAAGGCCAACCTGGTCTACAGCGCAAGTTGCAAGACAGCCAGGGATACACAAAGAAACCCTGTCTTGAAAAACCAAAAAGGAAAAGGAAAAATAAAAAAAAATTGTTTTATTGTATGTGTATGGGTGTTTGTATTGTCTGTGTACTACATACATGCAGTTCCCGAAGAGGCCAGCAGAGGGCACCTGATCTCCTGGAGCAGGAGGTGAGTAAAACTGTAAGAAGCCATATGTGTGGGGCAAATTGAACCCGGGTCCCCTAGAAGCTCAACCAGGGCTCTTAACCCTTGAGTCATCTCTCTAGGGCCCCCAAATCTTTATAGACACTGAAGTATATAAAAAGGGACTGGAGAATCGCAATAGAATAACACACAAATCCTTGAGAAAATATCAGAGCGAGAGGACCAGTGCAATGACGGGGCAGCGCCCTGTGGGAGCCAGTCCAAGGACCCACTGTAGTAAGACCGGGGGACACAGAGGGAAGCCGGGGCCTCCCTCATCCTTAGAGACCAGTTCTGCCCACCAGCTCCCTGCCCAGCCTGGGCCCTCTGCTCCCAGTTAACCGGCACTCTTCCCGTCTAGGGCACTTAGGATATTGCCAGCATTAACCGGTTACCGGGTCCCCTCCCCACCGGGAAAAGAACCTCATTTCTGTCTTTCCAGGGTGAGCACCAAAGCATTGTGGGCTCCTCAGCAACGAGACAGACAAGAAAAGTGAGACCGCCATGTTTCAGCAGGTGTGGAACCCTCAAGTGCCCCCAGCAAGCCAGCGGGGAGAGAAGTCCTGACTCCTGGCCAGGTCCGAGGTCCCTGACACAAAGCATCCTTCCGATCAGACCAGGGGTGCGTCCCCATCCCGCCAGTGGCGCAGGAAGTGGAGAGAGACCGGCAGAGAAAATCTGCACCACTGCCCCTCAGTAGATCGGTCCCCACAAAAAGAGGGGTGGCTGGTTCTAGCCTAGATATCCTTAGACATTTGTCCCTTCTAAAATGATGAGGTGATGCTCCCAGGAGCCCAGAGTAACTCAGAGCTGTCCTCTGCTATGTGGTGAGGCTGGGGTAAAACTTCCTTTCCCCATAGAAGGGCTGTACAGGGGGAGGAGGTCCTCACCCCGGAGCTCCCCCATGTCTCTGAAGGGGGTTCATCATCCCACTTTGTGTAAATCTCACTCAAAGAAATGGTCCTCCGCTCATTCCCTTCCTCCCCTCTGTTCTTGCCTATGGCTGCATGTCCAGGACCTGGAATGGGGCCACCACCACACTCAGGATGGGCCCTGGGAGAAAAAGCAGCCACTGAGTATCAAGAGGAAGACAAAAGAGCCCCGAGCAAGAAAAAAAATAAAAAATAAAAGGTATGAAAATAGGCTTAGCTACTTTGGGGTTTTCCTTTGTATTTATTTTTAGCAAGGATTGTGTGTCTAGCTCTGCATTAAAATAGCTGATGCGACCAATCATTGTTCCAGGGACCTGTGCATGACAACCTAGCAGGTCTCTGCAGCCCGGAGGGAAGGCGATGAGTTTCCTGGCTCACCCAGGCTGAACCCGGGGCATTTGTCTCACAGGGCCGCCTTCTCGGTGAAGGAAACAGAAGGCAGGCTTTAGACAAGGCTGAGAGCTGAAGGGGCAGTCGTGGGGGCGGACTTAGGCTTCCAGAAGGTATCTCCTGCTGACGCTTTCCAGGGAGAGGCTGAAATGTCCAGGCGAGGTCTCCACACCTGTCACCCCAAGGAGACAGAAGACAGGCCACCATTGGTGGCTCTCACACTCCATTTGGGACTTGCCTTTGAGGATTTTTCCCAGAAGGGCTATGGGAAGACTTTCTAGTTGACAAACCCCACCTTAAGACACCAAATTTTGTCACAGCCTCCTCTCAGGCCCACTGGTCATCTGGGAGGCATACGTGAGCCCCGGGCTACCAGGAGCCTCTGAAGGTTGGAAGGAGGAGGTTTTGAGACACTACCTTTGCTCTTCCCTGTCTCAGTACTGGTAACTTGGTGGCAGCGCCCTCCACGCAGTGCTGGATAGAGTCCCTGCACATCGTAGGTAGGGTTGACCATCCCCGGCAGGAAGATTACCATAGTACCTTGCAAACGACTCCAGAATGCCGAGGGAGACACCATGTGACAACAGGCACTCAATTAAATACTCGGGGTCAGTTAGCACTTGATGTGCCCAGGTCAGAAGCCTGCGCTCCAGGACACAGCTTATCTACAGAAGGCCCGGCGGCGTTACAAACTCAGGTTCGTTCACAAAGTGAGTTATGTCCCACATGTGACCAGATAGAAGGACTGAGCTGGCGTTTGTGCCAGCTGTTTATCCTTCCCTTTCATTAGGTCGACTGCTCCAGTAAGCTCCGGGTGCGTCCTGCGGTTGCCTGGGCTGAGGAGTCTGCTGGCCACTGCCGCTGGAAAACAGCTGCGCTTCTTTCTAGGAGAGCCCGTCTGACACACGAGACCTTGCGGTGGGCGGCAACACCAGGACCTCCAGCGCTCCAGTCACTTAACTACTCCGAGCTCCAGTTTCTGCGTCTGTGATCGGAGATAATGGCAGTCATGCAAGGTGGTGGCAAGGAGCCCACACAGCTTTCAAATATCACATTTCTGCTGCAGTGCCCTGCGGCTGTGTTACCGTAGCAAGGTCAGAAGCAGGGTCCCAACCTCTCCGGGGCCCTGGGGCGCCTGCTCCCCAGACCAGTTTTCTTTTGGGGGGAGCGGCGCAGCCTAAGCGCCGGCCTCTGGTTGACCCACCGCCCTCTCCGAGGCACGGATCCCTCCCGTCCCTCTCCCATCCCCCTCCCGCGTCCCAGCTCATGGTTTGGTCTCGGCCTCGAGATCCTCCGGGTCCAGCCGCGCGCTGCTCGCGGGCAAGCCGCCGGGCTCTGGTGCCTTGAGCATCGGAGCAGGTCCTGCTCCGGCCGTCGGCGTGGGGACCTAGGAGCTGCCCCTCCGCCCCTAGCCTCGGGCCAGCGGTGGACCCTGGGCTGGAAGAGCAGCTGCAGGGTCCGCCCTGCCCCCTTCCCCTGCGCGAAGAGCTGCTGCCAGGAACTGGAATATTAATAGGTACAAACTTCCTGGAAAGATTTTCGTCTTCGCGGTAGATGACCCCGCCTTGTTGGCCGAAAGAAAGAAAAGGTCTCCCGGGGCAGGCGGCGGGGAGCCTGGGACCCACGGGAGCCGGGGACACTCGGGACCCCTGGAGCCACGGCTCACTAGAGCCGGAGTTCATTGGTCGGGGGACCCACTCGGTGGCCGGCCGCAGACGCCGAGGGGCAAAGCCGGGCTCGCCTTTGTAAACCAAGTCCCAAGCGCTGGAGTCCGGACGCCCGAGCGCGCCTCCCCGGGAGCGCGCTCGCCCTGGGCCGCCCCGCCCTCCTGCAGGGCCCGGGCTCCTCCTCCAGGGTAGGCTTCTCCGGCCTCTGATCACTTAGCAGCATCCAAAAAACCCTGCTGCTGGAGCCCATAGGTGCGCGTCATTCCTTCCTCCAGGATTCTCTGGCTCAGCAGCAGTTGTGGCCAAAGCCACCTCCCTCCTTCCCAGCCGCAGAGAGAGGACAGATCGATCAGGAAGCGCCCCACCAGCCGCCGAGGTCCTTGGAGAGGGTCAGTCCCTGCCCTCACCTTGCGGATATTCAGGTCCCAGTGTCCACGCAGGACGCTCACTCCCCATACAGAGACTGGGGTTCTAAACTCTGGTTTCACCGCTTCGGACAGGAGCACCTGTCCTGGATTAGTTGAGAGTGTGCTGCCCGCCTGAAAGTCATCATTCACTGAAAATATTTATTGATGCCGGGTGTAGTGGCAAACTTGTAATTTCGCACTCTGAAGGCAGAGGCAAGAGGATCGCCCAAAGTTAAGGTGAGCCAGGTAGTGAGCCCTTGATTTAAACAAATACAAATTATTGCTACAAAGCAAACAAAAATCTTTTCTTGTGAAAACAAAACAAAAAGACAGCAGAATAGCCGGGCAGTGGTGGCACACGCCTTTAATCCCAGCACTCAGGAGGCTGAGGCAGGTGGATCTCTGAGTTCGAGGCCACCCTGGTCTCCAGAGCGAGTTCCAGGCAGCCAGGGCTACACAGAGAAACCCTGTCTCGAAAAATAAAATATAATAGAAAAGCGGAAGTGAAACAAGGGCAGAGGCGATGAAAGCCGGAAGAAGTCAGAGCTGTGTGTGTAGCCATGTTTAAGGCTGGGATTGGGAAAGAGCAAGCCAACCTCGCAGGCCCATTAACGAAGATGAAGACAGGCCTTGCAGGTTCCGCCAGCGGCGTGGGATTCGGGAGGGCAGTTTTGGGCACGCTGGTCATTCAAGGGGAGGGCTGAGCAAATGCTGGTCTGACAGGTCTCCATGAGGAGCTGGGGGGCGGGGCGGACACCTGGGAGACAGGAGCGAGCAAGCACACACCTGCCAGTTCCGAGCCGGCCTCGGAAGGAACCACCAGCCAGCCACTGCGCTTATGGAGCACATGACATTACAGAAATTATGTTAGGGATAGGGCCTCACTGTGTAGCCCTAGCTGGCCTGGAGCTCTGTCTGTAGATCAGGCCTGCCTCTTGTTAGGTTTCAAACGTCTCCTTATTTCTTATTTTCCATTCACCCCTGTCTCTTGAGTGCTTGGATACCAGCCTGAACTATTTTTTTTTATTTTAATTAATTTAACTTGAAATTTTTACTGACTTAGTTATTTGAAAATCTTCATTATGTCTAGAACAATTAGAGTATAGATATCTGCTTTTTCAACTGCAGTTGATGAAATCTACATACAGACCAAGAACAGTTTTCTATCCAGCTGCCACACTAGTTTAAAAAAAAAAAATTTTTTTTTTCTCCCAAGACCGGGTTTCTCTGTGAAATAGTCCTGGCTGTCCTGGATCTCACTCTGTAGACCAGGCTGGCCCCAAACTCACAGAGATCCTCCTGCCTCTGCCTCCCGTGTGCTGGAATCATCACCACCCAGCTAACTTTTAAATTTTTTAAATTTTTAATTATAATTTAATTATTATTGGGGCTGGAAAGACAGCTCCGTGGTTAAGAGCAATCTTGCTGCTCTTGCAGAGAACTGGTTTGTCCTCAGTCTCCACACTGGGCGGTTTACAGTTGCCTCTAACGCCAGCTCCAGGGAACTCTTATTCTTTTCCTTTTATGTGTATGGGGGTGCTGCCTTGTGTCTGTACATCAGGGTGCCCAGGGAGGCCAAAAGAGGGCATGGAACCCTCCGAGTCGACTAGTCCCAAATTCTCGATAACTCCTCCTCCTCCTCTTCATTTGCTTTTGTTTTGAGACAAGTTTTCTCTGTGTAGTCCTGGCTGTTCTGGAGCTCCTTATGTGGACCAGGCTGGCCCAATTCACAGAGATCTTCCTGCCTTGGCCTCCTGAGTGCTGAGATTAAAGGTGTGCGCCACCATGCCTAGCTAATTAGGCTTTTTAAGACTCTAGGTGAGCTAGGAGTGGGGGCACATGCCTTTAATCAGGAGGTAGAGGCAGGCAAACTCTGGGAGGGTAGCCTGGTCTACAAATGGAGTTCCAGGACAGTTAGGGCTGTTACACAAAGAAAGTTTGTCTTGAAAAACAAAACAAAAGATTGAAGGTGAGGTCTTCTTGCTGCCTGTACATCTGGATGTAGAACTCTCAGCTCCTTCTCCGGCATCATGTCGGCCTGCATGCTTCTGTGCTTCCCGCCATGATGATAATGGACTAAACCTCTGAAACTGTGAGCCAGCCCCAATTAAATGTTTTCCTTTATAAGAGTTAAAAAAAAAAGATTGAAGGGGAAAGCTGAGTGCATCAGGGTCAGCGATGTGTGTTCCAGGACCTGGTACAGAAACAGCAGAAGGGGTTCTGATTCAGCCCTGATTCCTAAATGTCTGGTGTTCACAAGAATTCTGGTGTGTGTGTGTGTGTGTGTGTGTGTGTGTGTGTGTGTGTGTGTGTGTGTAAAACCCAGGGTTTCATGTAAAAGGAGATACAAAGCCATAGGGAACAAGGATGGCTGGGTAAGGAAGGAGACCAGGCTTTTCTCACTATCCATTATTAGCCCCGGGGATCCCCCAAGGATAAGGCTCTTGTGTATCTTTGCCGATTTTCCTGTTAAATCTAACACAATCCAAGACCTGCAGTGGCCCTTTCCCATTCCAGAAATTCCCAGAAGCAAGATGGAGAAGCCAGATACCTACTGTGTCCCCAGGCCCTGAGGCCCTGAGGTTACTATTGCCTCCCACCTGTCATGCACATGAGGAGCCGGGAGCCAGGTTGAGCAAGTCCCAAGCTGGGAGCTTTGGCCCTGTCTGCATGGAAGAATCTCTGTTGCTCTTGGCCCTCCTGTTCAGTGTGTGGCCAAAAGCATGGACTGCTCAGG